TCGCCTACTGCTACTGCAACTGCTGCTGCACCCTGAACCCTAAACACCAAACCCTAAACCCTAAACCCTCAACCCTAAACCCTAAACTCCTAAACCCTAAGCCCTGCCCGGAACCCTCGAACCCCAGAGCCGCGACGAGGCCTAAGAGTGAGACGATGGCCGACCTTCGTTTCCGAGAGACAGTAGACCGGATGCACGGTTTAGGGTTAAGGTTTTAGGGTTTAGGGTTAAGGTTTTAGGGTTAAGGTTTTAGGGTTTAGGGTTTAGGGTTTAGGGTTTAGGGTTTAGGGTTTAGGGGACGACAGACTGGTCAAATCGGGGCTCCCAGCCCCAACTTCGGCCGGCTGGGGGTTGAGGGTTGATGGTCTAAGACTTAGGGTTCAGGGTTTAGGGTCTAAGACTTAGGGTTTAGGGTCTAAGACTTAGGGTTTAGGGTCTAAGACCTAGGGTTTAGGGTCTTAGACTTAGGGTTTAGGGTCTAAGACCTAGGGGTTTAGGGTCTAAGACTTAGGGTTACGGGTCTAAGACTTAGGGTTTAAGGTTTATAAGACTTAGTGATTGGAGTTCAGGGTCAATTGTCAGGTTCACACCCTTTCATTGTTCTTGGCATACGGGCCTTGTAGCTTCGGGTTTGGGGCTGTAGGGTGCAACATGAAAATCAGCAGGCATGGTTTTAGTGTCAAGTGTCCAGAACTTTGCGGTACCAGGGTGCACCTAGACCCTCCACCTACCCTCTATTCGACCCTAAATACCCTTAGTTTGGGACCATATATACCCCTGCTTGAGGGTACTTGGAGGGTCCTGGAGGATGTACATGCACTGGTGGGCCGGTTGCGGACTTAGGCTTCGTTGTGTCTCCTTGAACCCAAGAATGCCGAAAGCCGGGGGCCCTGATTTCTTGAGGGCGCCGACGTCTCTCTACAACCACCCTACGCCCCCTAGACTCCGAAGAGTGAGGCATACGAGACAGTTTCTATCCGTGCCCGAAAAACTTTGAGTGGAAGCCCGACAGATGCATCCTATACTACATGGGTTTAGGGGTTCAGGGTTTAGGGTTTAGGGGCAAGCTGTGTCGACTCCTCTCCAGAGGTGGGGAAGGCTCCCCGCTACTGAGGGTGTCAGGCCTGCGCTCTGAGAAGGATCCGACACTTCGTCTGAACCCTGATAGACAAAAAGTTGCAAATCATCGCAGCAGATGCTTCCTTCAGAAAACCCTAAGAACCCTCGACGCCTGAACCTTTCTAAGCCCTAAGCAGCTCGATTCCACCTGAGTGTACAGGCTGTGTACCGGCTCCCTAGCTTGACAAGCAGAGTTTGATGGCGGGAGCGCAAAAAGCATCACGGTTACCATCACGGCTTAGTATAAGGGTTACTCTGAAGCTTACTCTGGGTTGGTTTAGTGTTTACAGGTCGGGTATTTTACAGAAAGCAAGCCGGCACCAGTGGTGGTTCAGGACATACCTAGACCCTCTGACTACCCTCTATTGCAAAACCTACATACCTACTAGTCAAGAATGACAGATCTGTTTTAGGGGTGCGATGGGGTCCTGGTAGCCTGTCGGAGTCAGAAACCTTGGGTGTCCTTTAGACTTTGGCTTTCCGCTCAACGATACAGGTACTGAGCATGCGAGGAGTGTTGCGAGCATTGGCAATCCGATGGGGGCATTTCAAGACCTTGTGGTTAACGTTAATTAAGTCTTAAGATAGTTAAATTGTAAGTGCGGCGCAGCTGGCGAAGTTTGCTCTGGTTGGCGTCTCAGGCGGGAGAGTAAAGATTGTGAGAGCAGAAATGACACGCAGGATCAGCCCCGGAGGTTAACATGAAGCAGCTGAAGGTACCTATATACTTATCTATGCATCTATCTAGCTACCTATCTATCCATCTATCCATCTATCCATCCATCCATTTATCTACCTATCTATCTATTTATCCGTACATCCGTCTATCTATCTATCCATCTATCTGTCTATCTATGTGTATTTTGGGCAGTTGGTTCTTCTTGCTGTTGAAGTAGCGCTTGCGCAGCTAAACTCAGAATCCGATGCGTTTTCTGCTGTAAGCCCTGACACGAAACCTCGAAACCCGAAGCCTTACGAAATGCTACAACCCTCTATAGACCCCCCTGTAAATCCGTAGAACATCCCACCGGCCCCTGATGTCGAAATCCACCAACCCTGCATGCCAGCCTTGTTATTCTGATTATTACTAGTACTACGATTACGGTATGGAACCCCCCCAAACCCGAGGCCAGTTGCCGAGGCCTCTGCTGTAAAGCCGTGACAGGTGCCAACACAAACTTGACAAAAAAAGATGGCTACAAAGACGGCGAGTTCACAACCCTTTGAGAAAAGCGCAAGCGCACAACGACACCTATAAGCCCTAAACCCCGAAAGGGCTAGAAGTCCGAATTCATGGCCTCTGCTTCGCCCCGCCATGAGCGTGCACAAACGGAGATGGCGGGCGGACAAAGGCCTGCAACCCTAAACGGGTTTAGGGTTTAGGGCTTTAGGTTTTTAGGGTTTTTGGGCTTTTGGGGTTTAGGGCTTAGGGTTTTAGGGTTTTAGGGTTTAGGGGAATTTAGGGTCCCAAAGGGTCCTATGTACTGTTATGGGGGATACTTCCTTAGATCGTATTAGTAATTCCTAATATAGAAACCCTACAGTCTGCTATATCCGTACTTTGGGCCCTTTGCGAACTGATCCTGAGGGTTCCGTAGTATATGTATGGTCTAGTATGTCCCACAGCCCTGCAATTTAGTTGTTAAGGCCCTTAAGGAACCAAAATCCCCAAACCCTGCATCCCATGATTCAGTCTGCTGCAGGTAGCAGGTAGCTATAGCTTGTCTCATCTGGCTGTCAGACGTTCCATGCCGTCAGGGTTGTTTGTAGGCTTCTAGGATTTTAGCGGTTGAGGTGTTGGGAGCTTGGGACGATGTAGGGTCCACAAACCCCAAACCCCATGCCCCAAACCCTAAACCCTAAACCCTAAGCCCTAACCACTTCTTCACTTCAACGCAATGCGGTTCATCCGGAGCGACGTACATGCAAGCCAAAAGCGGCGACACTATGCGCCACAGCAAGAAAACGAGAACTACCCAAAAACAGTGCCTTCGGCGCGAGCAGCGAAAAGCCCAGCGAACCTAGGCACGGATGCACCAAGGCGCGAGCAGTCAGCTGCCCAGCGAGCCAGGACGGTACACAAAACTGGCCCGTAAAGGGACCGGAAATGGGACCTGCCCCACAGGCGAGTCAGCCAGCAATTGCCGCAAGGGCTCTCGCCAAAGATCGCCGCGGAGCTCGGTATGAGCCGCCACAAAGGCAATACCAGAATCAGTCTGTACAAAGTGGAAAGCCGCAAGCGGCAGAAGAGCGCGAAGAACTTGCTTGCCGGCCTGCGAGGGGGAGCCTAGCATCCAGAGCATCCCCCCTTGCTGCACACAGCCACATATCTGCCGTAGAGTGACGGTAGCCGCAAGGAGTGCAATCATCGCTCTCGGAGGGCCCGTGACGGCAGAAGAGTCTTGAGCAGCCTTACGAAGGGCAGAAAAGGCTTTTCGGAAGGAGAACGACCAGGCATCCTGACCATGTGCGGCCCACCACACTGCCCACCAGCGGTGCCAAGACTGCGGGAGCTGCCAAGCGGAAGCCCGGCCACGCATAGCCGGCCAATGAGGTGATGGACACCACCAATCGTCCTCCTCGACAGCATCGTCCTGCTGAAGCGCCCACCAGCGAAGGACACCCGGAAAGGCAAGCAAGTCGGCAAAACTGGCCAGACCATCTCCTCCATCCGTGCTCGCCCTGGAGGCCACGGGTCCGGGGAGCACACACGGCAGCTCAGACTGCGACCAGTCCAAAGGGTGCAGGGCTCCAGTGGCGTTGCGGAGCTCAGCACGGAGCTCTTCAGGCGTGCATGCACGGCCTTCGGTTGCAGCAACTCGCTGGGCCGGCGTGGCGTTAATGGGGCCACTTAGGCGAATCGGGGGAAGCCCCCGGTGTGCACGCCTTCCTGCTCTCTTGGAGCCGGTGCCGTACTGATACACCTCACCGACGGTGACTCGCAATCCATGCAGACATGAAGGAGTAACCCTAAGATGATACTTCAACCGATCAGTTGAGTGCATCTCACAATTACACCATAAACAAACTGTCCCACTGGTAAATCTCGTGAGACAGTTAACCACGGAGTGTTTGCGATGAACGTGTGCCGCCAATGCATGGCGGCTAGGCAGGGAAACGCCACAAATACCACATTGATGCCGCTCTAACTGCCCAATGACGGTCTTAGTACGCGGTGCTGCAAGATCCGCCCAGAGGTCACAGAAGGACTGCTGCAAAGTACCCCACCGGCTCAAGAATTTGCAGGCTTTAAGGACAGCCGGGCCGCGCATACCTATGTGTCCAAGCGTGGCACAGGGCAGGGCGGTCCGTCGTGCCAACCAACACCGAGCGAGGATGAAAACCGATGAGTAAAAACTAGGCCCACAAGTCCCAGCCAACAGTCGCACCGCCTCTCCACAAGAAGGTGCCCTTGGGCAAAACAAAGACCCAACAAAAGACTATGCACCCCAAATACTAAAGACCGGCTAGAGGCGCTGTTAGTGTCAGCCGTTCCGCTATCGTGGTCCAGTGTGTGCGCTGTTGCAGCCATGTCAAACCCTGATATCCCCGCGGCAATATGCGAGGGTCTAGGCACGACGACAAGCGGGCAGGGGGGGGCAGCACGAAGAGCAACGAAAGGGTCCACAACCTGTTCCCTGTGAAGGATACTAACCCTGCCGAGGCGCACATAAGACTCCAGAGGACTAGCTTGTGTCGGCTCTCCGCTGTGTTGAACGGCGCGCTGCAGACGCTCTACTGGGGAGGCCGACTCTGGCATAGGAAACACAGCTATGCCGCCCTCTAGAGCACGCATGTCTACAACAGTAGGATGCTCGGTTCCATGATGGGTCGAAGCCACAAATTGTATGGCCGGCAGGTTAGTTAACGGTGGCAGAAGCCGGGCGAAATGCGTGATCGATGTGCCAGGCCGAGGCGAGCTCTCGAACTGTCCAAGCGCTGCAGTACGAATGCTGAGATGATCAGCATATGATGGCACGCGGACATAGCAGAGACCTGTGTCAGCAATGACAACTGCATTGTCACCGCTCAAATCATGGTAGGCCACCTCACCAACACCCGAAGTACCTACACTAACCGTGAATCTATCCTCAAGCGTGAGTGACACTGGCAGGGAATCGGGCTGACTGTGGATGGTAGCTTGGATCTGATGAACAGGCCAAACCTGGAAGGCATCGCCCCGCGGTAGGAGCATGATGTAGGCGGAGGGAACAAACCAACCCGCACCTGTACGGCATAGAAACCCCTCAGGCCTGGCACGAATGTGCTGCTGCGTGAGGGCGAGACACGCGACAACCCCACAAGGGAGAGCTCGACGGGTTTCAACCATGGCAATGCAGCCACCACATGGCCTCAAGTCAACAGGTATCCACATCATGTTCCACGGCAAGCTGCTCGGCGATACAACATATTGCTCCTGTGGGAGCCCAGGCAACGCCTCGACCTGCCGGTGACAATACCATTCGTTCACTCGAAAACCAAAGGCCTCAAGTATGCTTTGGTCCAAATGCCGACCATGGAGTCGATCATCGACATGCATGAGCTGTGGTGGGCGTGGCGCGTCCGGCAGAAAAATAGCAATATCACGGGTGGGCTGAGCTCTGCAAAGTGAGGCCCCCAGTGTGGTAGCTTGCGGGTGCCGGACCGGCATGACATCATGGATATCGGTGACGTCCGCAGCCCCGCCCGAGTTAAAGACGGGCTGGCCATTAACCGCACCGTGTTGCCACACCTGGACGGCATTCACAGACGGAGTGCAAATCAGCCATAACAAACCGAACGGAACATGGTGATGAGCCCCCTTGGCTACCCGGCGACGGGGAGCCTGATCTGGAAGTCTCAATAATCTTCGTCGTCGTTGTCCCCATCCGAAATACCAGCGGGCTTGTAGGGGCTTGGTAAGCAAAGGACCGCTTGAACGTCCTGGTGTGCCACAGCCTCCACCGGCAAGTGACCTACATAAGGTCCTCCATGTTCCACAAGCAGCGCGGGAAATAACCATTCCTGGGCTGTGGAAGGTGCATAGCCGAACGGGTCCAGAAGGTTGCCGAGGGTGAGCTGAGCGGCCGCTACCAGTCCTTGCCGCGCCATCGGTAACACTTCCGGGCAAATACGCAGCCTCTGGAGGGAGTCGCTGAGAGCCGCGTAGAGTCGAGGCATGCGCTGCACATCCCCTGAGCGGGTGACATCCACCAAGAGCACCCATGTCTCTTCCAGCTGTTGTGCGAGGCCGGCGGCCATTTCCGGATCGGACAAAATGGGGAGAACTGCATCCTGCTCTGCGCTGTGACTCAATTCGCCAATGACCGCGTCTCCGTGGTCCACAATATATCGTACCAATCGCAACCATGCTGAAGACCAATCCGGGGAATCCCCGGAAGCTCTCGCTGCCGGCAGTAGCTCTGGGTCGTCCACCACCGTAGAGGACGGCCGATGACTGGTCTCCGGAGTTCTGCCAGTCGCCTCTCGAGTCCAAGGCACCCCGTTGCCCGTGTCTCTCCTGGGGCTTTTGGACGGTCTTTCGGAACGAGGCCCCTCTCGTTTTCTCCAGCGGCCGCCATTTCTGGAAATTGCCGGCATTGCTGCAGCCATGGGGCCTGATGGCGCAGAGCTCAATGTCGGCTGAAAGGGCACTGACATAGTAGGCATAGCGACCTCCACAGGCAAGACCTCGGGTACTGCATGCGCGGCAGGGGCAGCGATTCCGGAGAAGTGGCCAAAACTCACCTCGGATAGTGCGTCCCCTATACCGCCAGCCCCGGTAGGGCCTTCCACCACACTGACTGCACGGAGCAACGCCGCGATCCTCAGTATTTCCTGCTCCTGCGCCGCAGCCCAGACTGGCGAGCCTATAGATGCATGCGCGGCAGCGACCTGTTCGGCCGTCGTGCTCGACGGCTGCTCCTGAAGGGCCAATTGCATTTCCCTGCACGCCTCGGCTAAATCGCCGTCGACTTTGTCGCCCAGCGCTCGCACGCGCTGAACCAGTCCAGCCAAGTGTTGTCCGATAGCACCCAGCCAGTGTTGAAGCGACGTTTTGAGCTCGTCCTTGGCTTTGATATCTCCATTGATGTGCTTGGAGAGTTTGCTGACGGCAGCAGCACGCTTTTGCGCTTGCTGCTCGACTGTAAGGTCCCCTGGAATGGAGGTGGGATTGCCCCAGAGATCCTGCGTCGACCTGGAGGTGATTGCTTGTAGAGACACCACCATGGCCTGCGGAAGAGCATACTCGATACGAGAGGCTGGAGGGTTGTTCTCGGTGCCTTTCCCTCTGCCTTTCGCAGGCTGCCGACCACCTGCCGGGGGTTTTGGAGCCATGCTTCCGTGGTGCAGTGTAAGGAGCAGACGATCTTCGGGTCGATGTAGGCCCCTCCTCAAGCGCTGACGAGCCTGGGCTCGTTGTCGGCGGCACCTTCTGTGCCAGCTCGGTGACGGGGGCCGCCTGCGTCGCCTCGTTGTAAACCGGCGGAGATCCACACCAAATCAAAGTGCCCCCAAGAGTCAGAAAAGGGAGCAATGTGAGATAAGCGCAGCTGCGCCGCATACACCCGATCGGCCAAGCGAATGGCAGCGAGCGGTGTTGAGTGCCCAATCAAAGAAGAAAGAACACCCAGATGATAGAGGGGAGCGCGCCTCCCCTGTTGCTCGAGAGAGCGAGTATATATAATCGGCCAATTAAACGGCAGCGATTATAGCCCTCTATGCAGAGAGGGTGGGCCCAGTGTTCACTGAAGCCAGTCGCAACACCTATGGCGGCGTCGCTGGGGTTGGGTAGACAGAAAAACAAGCGGAAACTGCACAGCAGAGCCGCCGCTACTTCTGCTCGAGCCGCAACGCCTTAAGCCCTAACCCCCAAATCCTAAACCCCAAACCCTATAAACCCAAAACTCGGCGCAGGGTGGAGTGGGAGCTTAGGTTTCAGGGCTCAAGGGTTTCGTAGAGCTTTGTCAAACCCTAGGGCCTCTGCGAATCAAGAGGGTTTAGGGTTCAGGGTTTAGGGTTTAGAGACGAACATTCGTTTAGGTGCCTGAAGTCTGTAAGTAGTGCCTGCTTGGCTCGTGCTCGTTTTTGGAGCCCCAAGTACGTTCGTCACCTTTTCTATGAGCGCTTGAATGAAGAAACCTGCATTCCTAGAACCTCCATCTACCCTCCATTAGACCCTTACTTTGAGACCATATACCCCTATTTGAGGGTTACTTTCAGGGTCCTGGTATGAGCCGCACAAAACACCAGCCCTCCACTCGACGTCCCGATCAAACCGCTTGTAGAGCCAGGTGAAGCCTCGGTAATTTAGGGTTTAGGGGTTTAGGGGGTTAGGGGTTTAGGGGTTTAGGGGTTAAGGGTTTAGGGTAGGGCTTGGGGTTTAGGTAAGACCCTCCTATTTTTGAAACCGAGAAACCTCCTAAGGCCCTTGCACAACCCAGGAAATGTTTGCTGCAAAGTTCGCTAAGAACCCACACGTATCCTAAACGCTTAAGCCCTCTTGAACCCCCTCAATCCGCATAGAACTCATCGAACTGCGGGAGTCTGGCTTTGAAGCAACCTTTACACGTACCCATAGGCTCCAAAGTAGTTCCAGTTTGTGGCTTATATTTTTGATCCTACAAGGTAAGCCCAAAAAAAAACTATTATGGTGCCTGCGGGTATTGAAAAGGGAGCCCTTGACGTCTGGAAGTCCCAGGAAGTCACTCCCCCGCTGCTCCGGCCGTCTGCGAGGTGTTTTGCGGCTTGGCCGTGGGTTTCAGGAGGTTTCAAGGCTTTGGGTTTTGGGGTTTTGGGTATTTGTAAGAGGTTTTGAGTAGTGCAATGGGGTATTGGTGAGGGTGCGGGGCGTGAATTATTAAGTGGCTTCTCGGGATGTTTTGGGTGTTTTTAAGGGTTGATAGAGGTAGGTTTTTGCAGGGTTCTTGATTTTGTAGCGTGCTTTGAAGATCACAGTGGGGGCTGTATACAGCATTTAATACGAGTTTTAGAGGGGTTAGTCGGGTTTGATGCTTTACTCCCGGTCGTGATAAAGCCTGGGCTGGTCAGGGTTCAAGGGTTAAGTTTAGGGCCAGTAGTAATACTATCCTTTTGTGGTCCCTATTTACAAAGTATAAGGGAAATCTAGTTATCAAGTTCCTGGGGTTTCGGGTATGAGGTTTGGGTGGAAGAACTCGGCTTGCATGTCAGCGACCGTAGTCTGAACCCTCAAATGCCAAGTCCGGAGTCCTAGAATCAGAAGCCGCAAACCGTGAATCGCAAGCGCTAAGCCCAAGCACTAACAGGTCCCCCTTGCGGTTGCTTGTGGGTTTAGGGTTTTGGGGTTGGGTAGGGTTTAGGGTTTAGGGTTCAATCCGAACACCTGGGCATGGGCCCTGAACCCTCCACTGCTCCTTAGGGTGACGGTTTTTCCCAGGCCGTAATCCTACAGACTCTAAACCCCTGCACGAACAGCAGGGCACATCTTTGGAAGTGAAAGGCTTTGCGGCTGCAGGCTGCCATACTTGAGCGTAAATATCCGGGGTTCCTTTGGGAAGGATCTTGCTTTCTAATTCTGCAGCTTCTTATACGTAGTGGGTCAACGCCCTGGGAAGATGAAGGGTCGTCGGTCAGTAGTACATCGAAATTAGGGTTGCAAGCATCCTAAGTTTCGGATGGCTCGACTCATGAACCCAGGTTTTTCGCTGAACCGAAACTCCCTAACTCAGAGAGACCAACTTCAACTAATTAGGGCCTTGGAACTTGTTGATCAACCTTTGAAACAGATTCATGATGATGGACCGGCTCAGAGCCGGTCAACTCACCCCCTCTTAAATCATAGAGAGCCCTCATCCTTAACTGACGTCTGCCCTCCTTCTGCCAGACTCAACGGCTTAAAGTATATCCCTCGGGTTAACCGACATCATCTTCCCCGGGCTCCGCTGCTTTGGGGTTTACCTGTGACCCCAAACCCTACAAACTAGTAGGCTATGACCCCTTAATTAGAGGGTAGAGTAGAGCCCTTAAAACGGTAGGTTTTGGGATCCCCAGGCAGGGTTTAGGGTCTGATTTTTTAGGGTTTAGGGTCTGATTACATCCCGGGACTTCAAGGAACATCTCAGGACTGGGCCCTAATCTATAGATCCTTTGAAGGAGCCCTACAGAGACCCTTATAGATCCCTTTCCGCAACCCCCTAGATGAAGAGAACGACCCCAAGAGGTAGGCGGCCCTTCTCTGAAGCTTTAATCTTCAAGCCCGGAATCCGAAACTCTAGAGACCAAACCCTGAACCCTAGCGCCCCATCACCAAAAGCCCCGAAGCCCTAGGAAAAGCAATCCTAAACCCTAAACCCTCATGCCCCATGCTCCGAAAAGCAAGGCTGAGCATCGCAGCTGCTGCAAGCTTTGCCTTGGCGGCGATGCTCGTCAAGGCCATTCCTCGCCAACCCAACTTCACGCTGACATGGGTAGTTCTCTAAATGAGGGTCCCTTTTTGATGGTCCTTTCTATGAGGGTGCAATATTGTTGGGGGGGACAAAAAACGGGACCTCATTTGGACCTATGCCCTTCGATTAAAGGTCTCCAGTCCCCACACGAGCCCCACCGCGTCTCGTTGTAAGGATGATGATCATGGTGATGGAGACGATGGTCATGATAATGATGACTTTTCGTCAGCAAAAGCGCAACGCGCAATTTCGGTTCCAGCGATTTCCCCCGCCTGAAGCCCTAAACCCCTAAACCCCTAAACCCCTAAACCCCCAAAGCCCCTAAACCCCCAAAACCCCTAAAGCCCTAAACCTTAAACCCCTAAAGCCCTAAACCCCTAGTTGAAGTCCACGGTGCTCCGATGTGCAGAGAACACTGGCGCTAACCTGTGAGCTCCAAGTTCACCGGCAGCTCTGCTTCCTCGAATACTGGGCTGTAGAGTTTATGGGGTTTAGAGCTTTTGGGGTTTAGGGTTTAGGGTTTGGGGGTTTAGGGAATTTCGGGTTTAGGGAATTTCGGGTTTATAGGTTGTTCAGGCTGAATTTCTTTCCCTTTCCGCGCGGATTTGGGCACCGGTCTGCCCAGCCTCCGGCAGCCTCCTTGGAGTCACCCCGCTCTTCTCCCCAAAACCCTAAACCCTAAACCCTAAACCAAACCTAAGATGAAATGAGCCCTAAAAGGATCTCAAAGGGCTTAAGGCATCGGAATTCATAGTTTAGGGGTTATATAGGCCCCGGTCCCAGAGGAATCCTGCAGAGATCGCACCCAGAACTGCTAAATCAACGCTGCGGCCTGTAACCCTGCAAGACGTCCCCTGGTTGCGATGATTTTTCAGCACGTTCAGAAGGTTAGGGCCCGAGACCTGAAACCCTACACTACTGCAAGCCCTAAACTTGGCCCTGGACCCGGGCTGCTTAGTTACTTAAATCAGCCCTGAACCCCACAGACCCTCAAGCCTAAACCCTAAACTTAAACTGGCCATGACCCCTAAACCCTAAACCATACCCTAAACCCTAAACCCTATATGTAACCCTGTGAGCCCTAAGGCATCGTGGGACCATGGGCCCTAACCCTAAGACCTTTGAGTCATAAACCCTGAGAGCCCCCCCTCCTACACCCCAGGCCCAAGGAACCCTGAAGCCTGAGCCCCTCAACACTCACGAAGCCTATAGAACCCTTGAAAGATTACCCTACTATTTCTTCGGGTTGTTTGTTTTTTATGGTAATTATATGGTATCATGTATCCCAAAGCCCAGTTTCCAGTCTTAAGGCCCCTCTATGCGAGCGTGGCCCTCTGAATCCCGAAGCTTTTATACTTGGGCCACAGGTCTGCGCCACGGGGCTGAGCACGCTGGACTCTCTCTCTCCTTTTGCTGAGTGCATGGCTGTAGTGCGCATTCAGGGCTGGGGGTCCAGGTGTATAGAGCTTAGGATTGGGTTTCGGGCTTTTTTTCCTAAATCCTGGGCCCTAAACCCAAAACCCCTAAA